GAGCCTCTTGCAGAATTGGGCTGGACGTTCGCAGAGCAGGTGCACTGCGGTCTCTATTGCGTCTGAGCAGAATCTGCAGAGATCGTCTTCCGCTCTGCCCATTAATCTTAAATGGTATTTTACTGGGCAGTGTCCTGTGAGCAGTCCCACCACCAATCTGATGTCTGGTCTGCTCATGCTTAGGAGTTGTTTAGCTCTTTCTGCTGAAAGAATAATGAACCTTTTAGACTGTCTGAATCCCGGTTTGTGCCTCCAGTATGATGACAATTGGTCTTTCTCCCATTTATTGAGTTCTTCCATGATGTGGCTTTTCATTAAGCCACAGTAAGGTTCTGGTCCATGGTATGGTGTTGAGACCCCTTCTTTTGCGAGGCCATCTGCTTCTTCATTTCCTTCTATGCCTCGATGACCAGGCAGCCACATCAATGTTACCTGTTTGTGTGTCGCTAGTGTTTTTAGGGTCTGTTTACACTCCCAGACTAGTTTTGACGTGCATTTTAAAGCCCTTAAGGCTTTAAAGGCAGCTTGGCTGTCCGATAGTATGAAGATGTGTTTTCTTTTGAGGCTTTGGCTAAGACACTTTTGTGCACATATATTTATTGGAAGCAGTTCGGCTTGAAATATTGTAAGATGTTTACCCAATGCCTTGGAGAACTTGAAGTTAGTGCCGGAGATGCCCTATCCAGCTCCTTCCATTAGCTTGGATCCATCTGTGTATCACAGAGATGCATTGTCTGCTTGTGGCAATTCTTTATTCTCCTATGATTGGCGGTCGTTTATTACCACTGCGAATGAGATCTCTAAGTCCAATCTGAACTTGAATCTGATCATCATGTGATCGCTTGGTTTGCTGGCATTCTCCAGTTTTATTAAATCAAGGACTCGCAGATGTCCTCTCAGATCACCAGGCTTCAACTTGTCTATTTGGAATAGCCTGTGAGCGCTGGTTATTGCCTCCTTTTTCACACATAGATGAAGTGGGGGCATGTTGAGTAGCGTCTCTAAAGCTGCGGTAGGGCAAGTTGACATTGCTCCCGTTATTCCTAGACATATCAGCCTTTGCACCTTTCTTAGCTGAGCGGTAACTTGTTGGGTTTTGGCCCACCACACCAATGAGGCGTATGTAACCATGGGCTTTATTATATTTAGTTTGGTAAATCCAGAATACCATCTTTGGCTTTAGCTCCCATGTTTTTCTAACAAGTTTTCGGCATGACCAAATGGCTGATGTAGCTCGAGAACATGTTTCCTCTAACTGTTTGTTCCAAGTGAGGGTTCGGTCCAGGGTGACCCCTAAGTACTTCACTTCGTTGGAAAATGTTAGTTGTGTACCGTTTAGGGTCGGGGCTTTCAGATTTAGCTTCCTTCTTCTTGTGAACGGGACAATGATTGTTTTGTTTGCGTTTAGGGATAATCCTTCGCCTTCGCTCAAATTTTTAACGATGTTTAGGTAACTTTGCATTCGGTTTGTCACTACACCTTCATGTTTGCCCTTGATTACAATGGCTAGGTCATCTGCGTAGCCTATGACTTGGTATCCAGCACTACTCAGTCTGGTAAGAATTTTGTCTACCGCCAGTGTCCATAGTAGGTGAGAAAGAACACCCCCTTGAGGACACCCTCTGACCGTGGTAGCGCTAGCTGATGCTCCGTTTATTTCAGCCGTAACGTGACGGTGTTTCAGCATCAACTCTATCCATTTTACAATTGGAACTTCAACATCCCATTCTTGTAATGCTCTGGCGATTGATTGATGTGAGGTGTTGTCAAACGCACCCTCTATGTCGATGAAAGCTGTGAGAGCGATCTCTTTGCACTCGATTGTCTTTTCAATGTCTTTTACCACCCATACAGCAACCATACGTACTATGTACGTACCTGGTACGTAACTCTTGGACGAACGTCACGTCCCAGGTACATAGGAATGTTTTATTGCATTTGTTAGATTGTCAGATGATGCCTCTAGCTCTTCTATTGTATTTATGTCAGAATGGAGTTCATCTAGACTCAGGCAGAGACATTCCACATAGGATACCCAGTTGGTGAGTTTTGGGATTCTCGTCTGTACTGAGTGATTTATTACTGCCTCTAAGTCGAACCTTATTGCTTGATGGTCCGACAGGGAGGGTTCATTTGACACAAGCCAGTTGGTTATTGTGTTAGATGTAAATGTGTCAGCGAGAGTCACGTCTAAGACCTCTTGTCTGACGGCGTTAATGAAAGTGGGTTTGTTACATTTGTTGATAATATCTATGTTGTTAGAGTTTAAATATTCAAAAAGGTACTCACCGCTTACGTTTGTATCGGTGCTTCCCCATCCTACCTGGTGATGGGCGTTGGCGTCTGCCCCGATAATGTAGTGTCTGTTTCTCGCTCTTCACCACGTGATAAGTCGTTGGACGATCTCTGGCGGTGCTGAGTTATCATCACCTGGAAAGTAGGCTGAGACTATGAGAATATGCCTTGAGCCCCCTTCCGTTGGCACTTCTACTAAAGCAGCTGCCAAGTCTTGTGTGATGAACTCTGGAACAGGTAAGAATTTTAAATTTTTGTCAAGCAGCAATACTGCTTTTGGTCTTTCGTGGTTAATGTTGTAGATTAACTTACATGATTTAATATTTAGGCCTTTTATAGAGCCTCCATTGACCCAGGGCTCTTGAAGTAGCCCTACGTTGATTTTTTGTCCAAACATTCTTCTTCTAAGCTCATTAGTGGCAGCTTTTGAGTGTTGAAGATTTATTTGAATGCATTTGATGCTTGGTGAGCTGCTTCTCTTTTGTTGCTTGGAGGAAGCCATTAGAGTTGCACTCACTTTTCGGACCCCACCGGGCACTTTCGTCTTTATGACTCATTGAGTCTTTAGACGTGCCTGCCCTTGGTTCGGCGCCGCTTTTCTTTGGGGAGTTTGGTTGCTCCACAGCTGTTCCTCAAGTGAACTCAGAGAGGATTCCTCAAAAAGCAACACAGTGTCGTCGGCGAATGTAACGTATATTTCGAGTAAATGGTCAAAGATAACAGATATCTTGCCTTTATAACTTGAAAAGGAATATTCGATAAGGTTGGTATATAAAGCGACATCAACTATAAGGTGTCCTCTAATTGCTCGCAAATACGCCTTTCCACTGACTAAATGAGGGATTTCATTTCCTGCATATATCATTTCAAAAACTTCGAAAAGACCATAGCTTGCCATTAGTAAACCTACTGCACCCAACAAATTCATAATTGTGTGAAAGTTTTCCAATTTTAGGACAATTGATTTCAGCTCATCATATTCCAGCTTAATCATAGAAGCTTTCCTTTCCAGAACAATGACTGATCAAAAGTTATGATAGCTGGGATATGTGGTTCTTATTAGCGAGGTCAAACAAGGATTTCAGTAGGTCCTAAAGTTGTAAAAAACCCTAAAATCATTTCCAAATGACCAATTTAAAGAGAGAAAAAAAAAGGAAATTTCTGGGTTCTGAATTTTTTAAAAGTTTTGATAAAGTTTTGTATGTAGGTAGCTATCTTTTAATTTGATGGATTTTTGAAAAATCATCCTAATTTTAACAATATTATCCCAAAATTTCCAACATCCGCATAAAACCATCATCATCATCTTCGGCAAATTTGAAATGTCTCGCTACCGCATCAACAGTACGCCCCTAATTACGTTATGAGGGTCTTTGGGACGAATTAGTCTCGCGCTAATTAATAAGGCCTCCAGATGATGGCCTTTACAGAGATGATGTTTATATTATACTCCCTTGGGTCACGGAATTATAAAAAAATCACAAAAGTCTTATTGAGGTGGGAATTCGTTAGTTTAGGATGTCGGAGAATTAGCTGAGGAAACCACATGGAAGTATATATACTTGGTTTTGGTTATTTGCAAAGGAAATGAGAGGCAATTATTACATGTCAATTTGAAAGGGAGAAAAAAAAATGAGTTGCCGCCTAATGATTTTATTATCTGTTGTATTTTTGATCCAGCACTTCAAAGTGAAAAATGGGATAAAACCAGCCGTATAGAAGCAAATTTTATGCCTCAAAATAATGTAGGTTTGCGGTTCACGAGGTGGTAGTTTATTCATCTGAATCTCCTTTTCTTGTGTAAAAAATTTATAATATTATTTACCTTTTGGTTTACTTAATTAAAAACTAAAGTCTTCATAAAGAAAGTTGAATTAAATTTAATTTAATTAAAGCCTTGTTCGCATTCAATTTACCCCTAGGTACTCCGTTTCACAGCGCGTCGTTGCTGCTGGAATTGTCTAGATAATTCGTTTCCAAGGGATTTTCTCATCTAAATCACTAAAAATTCAAATAACACGATTTGTGAATTATATATGTCGAACAAAATTACGTTAACAACATATTAATTTTCAAAGTAATAATTTACTCTACCACTCCACACCCTCTACCAAAAGCCAACATTTTATCGAACAATAAATTCAAGAGCGCTAATAAAGATAGATAGAGCCAAGTGTTGAAACATTTCGCTCGTAATTTCAGCCTCGTAGAGCTTTTATGGGATTGGGGGAGGCTTTAATTATTATTGCAAATTATAGTGGTGCTTTTAAATTATAAAATAAAATTTCGGCAATAATTCTTTCCCTGTCTATAAAAAAAAAATTGTGACCGTCTTATATAAATCCCGAGGACAGTTAAGTGGCCATTAAGGAAACCCGAAAATATCGGCTGACCGACAAAATGTGAAGAAACGGTTTAAATTTTCCTTTCTTTCTTGGTCAATAATATATTGAACTTAATGAAATCTTGGGAGTGAGTTATGGAAGGTTTTATCGAAATTAAATTTCTAATGGTGGCTTTTGTTCTAAAATAAATAGAAATCTTCTGTTAACAGAGCAATTATCTATTGAAACCCGCGGGAAAAACCCATATTTAACATTACTGTACTTTGTGTCTTGAATAAACAATCATTCAAATAACGAAAACCAGTATTGCTTTTGTTTGGGTTATTATATAATAATGTTTGCAAGCTTTTAGTTCCTCATTGATTCTTTGAACTTAGAGTTAAAAGTGTTGATTGAAAAATGCATTTTGCTGTTAATTTTACCTTGTGTTTATTTTTTGTTATCACTCAATTTGATTGTTTGCCTGTCCAAGATGAATCACAAAATAGTACAACGACAATTCGGCCGATTCCTCCAAAACCATTTTTATTGGATGTAAAACAGAATATTGGTGAGTGATTTTATTTGTAATTATTATTTTTTTCAAATTTAATTTTGGTTGTATATAGGAACTTCTCCTTTTGATACTTCATCATTGACCCTGGTGAGAAATAATGGTTGTCCTAGTTCAAACCAGATGCGTGATCCCAATGGAAATTGCAGGGAAATTGAATGATAAACTGTTTATTATTATTATTTATTATTGAAAAATAAACATATTCTAATTAGGTATATTTACTTTATTGCAACTTCTGTATTTAAAAAGTTTCATTTTAATTTAACACGAAATTACATTGATGTTTCTATAACAAAGTTGGCTTAAAAACTAAAATTCTATACTGCTGCAAGCCCGTATTTATATAATAATAAATGCTGAATTTATGGTCAGTCACTATTGTAAACTTTTGGCGAAATAAATATGGACGGAAATATTTCGTAGCCCATATTATTGGTAATAATTTCTTCACGATTGTTGAGTAATTAGACTCGGTTGAGTTTAGAGTTCTACTGCTATAAGCAATAGGTAAATCCGATCCAATTGGATCATTAGTTTAAAGGTCTTTACAAAGGTTGAAAGCTGTGATGAATTTTGTGATGAATCTCTTTAACATTTTTCTTTGAATAATCTGTTGAAGGTTTTGTAATTTTTGCAAAATTCTTTGTAAATTTCTTATAATAACCATACGAGGCCAAGAAATGATTTTATTGCTTTCGGAACTTTGGGTATTCTGAAATTTTTGATTGCCTCTATTTTTCAAAGGTTTGGTTTTGAGACCTTCTGGAGTCTAAATGTGTTCTAGAAATTCGACACTTTTCTGTAAAAATTCAGATTTGTTTAACTGTATTTTCATATTGAAAGACATTAATCGTTCGAGTACTAGTTTTAAAAAGTTTATGTGTTCTCGAAGGCTAGTTGAATAGATAATGATATCATCCATATATGTATACCATAGGTATACTATACAGACTTTTCCTAGTTATCCTCGTAAAACATTATCCATTGAAAGAATGAAGCAAGAGCATTTTTCAAACCGAAGGGCATACGTGTGTATTCGTAAGATCTATAATCTACATTGAATGCAGTTTAAGGAATACCTTTTGGGTCCATTTCAATCTGGTGAATTCCATTAGCTAAATCCAAAGTTGTAAAATATTGACAACGTCCTAATTTATCTAATATAACTGCGATATTTGGTATTGGATATTTATCACTTTTTTCATTCAACTTGCTATAGTCGATTAATAGTCTCCATTTGTTTTCTCCTGACGTATTTGTTTTCTTAGGAACAATCTATATAGGGGAACTCTAAGGAAAACAGGATAGTTGGATGGTTTATATGGGGCTCTTATTAGATTAGGTGGTTTTTAACTAATAAAAGCCCAATATAAACCATATAAAATAGTTTACCAGTCTTACAATTAATTCTAAGAGTGGTCACGTGGTTTTTAACTAATAAGAGCCCCCTCTAAACCATATAAAATAGTTTACCGGTCTTACAATTAATTCTAAGAGTGGTTACGTGGTTTTTAACTAATAAGAGTCCAATATAAACCATATAAAATAGTTTACCAGTGTTACAATTAATTCTAACAGTGGTCACGTGGTTTTTATCTAATAGGAGCCCCATCTAGACCATATAATAGTATTTTACATTATTATCCAGGTGTTAACGCCCGACGAAGCTAAAAAAAAAAATTTACAGTCCTCCTAGTACAGTCAAAAACATTTGGTCCAGTCGACCCGAGATCCAGTTTTACCAGAAAAAAACGATAAGTGGAGAGAAAACGTGTGTAGTACTGTTATGCAATAATTGTTGTGGAACAAGAAAGAAATAACTTCAAGAACCGGGTGATTCGTTCCATGTTAGAACAATATTTCGAAGATTCACCTTCTACCCAAACGTCATAAATTGTCATAATCTTGTCTAGAATTTAAAACGAGTATTTGTCCTCTATTTGTGTCAATTCATTGGCGGGCTTTTCATACAAGTTTTTCACGATAATAGTCCACTCCAATCAATATAGAAATGACAGAAATCGATACTCTTACAAGAAAACGAGGTTCAGTAAAGGCTGTACTCACTAACTTTATAAAATTTGTTGAAACTCTCACAGTCAAACCAGAATTAGGAAAGTCAGAATTTCTTCAATTACAAGATAGGATAGCAAGGGTAGAAAGAGCACTTTCTGATTTTCAGGAAATTCAGACTGAAATTGAGGCAAAAGTAGATGCAGTTTCAGTAGAAAAGCAATTCGACGAGCGCTATAAAATTGAAGATTCATTTTATAATTGGATTGCTAAGGGTAAAGAGTTGAGAGAAAATTATGAAGAAAAGAACCAAAAAAATAATGATATCGATTCAGTTCATTCTTACTCTACTGTTGCCTCAAAATCAGGTCCACAACAAAACATTTTAAATGCAGTCAAGTTACCAACCATTACATTGCCTAAATTTCAGGGTAAATATGAAGGATGGCTTGAGTTCCGCGACACCTTCGAGTCCCTTATTCACAAAAACGAGTCATTGTCAGAAATACAAAAATTTCACTATTTAAGGGCCTCGCTTGAGGGTAGTGCTGCGTTGGTAATAAAGTCTGTCGAGTTCTCTAGTTCTAGTTACAGTGTTGCATGGGACACTTTATGTGAACGGTTCAATAACAATAAATTGCTAGTACACAATCACGTAAAAGCTTTGTTTGGTTTAGAAGCAATCCAAAAAGAATCGTCTGATAAAATTCGCAAGTTAATCGATGATATGTCCAAAAATTTGAGAGCATTGGAACAGCTTAACCAAAGTACGACAAATTGGGATACTCTTATAATTTTCCTAATTGTTTCTAAATTAGATAATAAGACGATTAGTGAATGGGAAAATTATAACATAAGGCTAACCAAATTGCCGGTACTTCAAGATTTAAAAACTTTTCTTAAGGGTAGGGCCGACCTACTTGAAACTATCGAGTATAAAAATCAAGAAAAGTTTGAGTATAGTCGCGATTATAATAAAAAACCAGTTTCCAATCAAAGTACTAGTAGATCTTTGGTTGCAAGTACCTATTCTTGCAATTATTGCAAAAAAGAACATTCTATTTATTCATGTCCCGAATTCGCTAATTTAGGCATAGAACAAAGGTTAGACTTTGTCAGAAAGTCTAGTTTATGCGTAAATTGTCTAAGATGGGGTCATAATGCTCGTCAGTGCAAATTAGGACCATGCAAGAAATGCAAAGCGTGGCACAATACTCTGCTACACGCAGACAAAGTAAAAACGCTCGATAAAAATCAAGAGACTAGTAAATCTGACACAGAAAAGCTTAGTATAAATTGTACTAGTGGTATCATAGGTACCGGGTCAGGTCACATATTTTTATCAACAGCGTTAGTAAAAATTACATCCAGAAGTGGTCAAGTATATAATGCTAGAGTCTTGTTGGATTCAGCCTCTCAGAGTTGTTACATAACTACAAAACTTTGCAATTATTTAGGGGTTGATAAACAAAAGGTTGATGTATTGGTTTCAGGTATATCAAACAAAACTATTCCCATAACTGAAAGGTGCAATGTAGAAATACAATCTTTGTATAGTAATTTCAAAGCCAAATTGTCATGTCTAGTAATAAACGAGTTTACAAGTTCATTGCCTAGTGTAGAGGTTGACATATCTTCTTTAAAAATTCCTATTGATATTTTTCTAGCTGATCCCGAGTTTTATAAACCTAAAGAAGTAGATTTGCTTGTGGGTGCTGAACTATTTTGGACTCTGGGTCAGATCTCCTGCAGCAAGCATGGTCCTATTATACGGGAAACAAAGTTAGGCAGGGTCGTGTCAGGTGCTATGGGTATGTTAAACCATAAAAATAAAAAACAATCTTTTTGCCATTTAAGTACTTTAGAGTTTAGAGTCGGTCAATTTGAATGATATTTTGTCTAAGTTTTGGGAGCTTGAGGAAGTCAATGTAACCAAGCCGCACTCTAAAGAAGAAATTTTTTGTGAGGAGAATTTTACCAAAACAACCACTCAGGTCGTTTCATAGTAACTATGCCATTAAAGGAATCTCCTGAATGTCTAGGTCAATCGAGGTCGAATGCAGAAAAATCTTTCTATTCATTAGAACGTCGCTTAAGCAAGAACGAGTACTTACGTGATTTATATGTTAAATTCATGCGCGAGTATCAGGACTTAGGACATATGTCTGTAGATAACAGATATCCTGAACCAGTAGTTGAATATTTTGCTAGCCGTCACAAGTAAATTACGAGTAGTGTTTAATCGTTCAGCATCGACCAGTAATGGTTTATCCCTAAATAACATTCAGCATAAAGGTCCAGTTTTACAAGACGATTTACTAGGTATCGTCTTACGATTTCACTGTCATGCTTATGTATTTTCATCTGATGTTGCCAAAATGTATAGGGCAGTGCTTATTGCTCCAGAGCAGCGACAACTACAAAAAATATTTTGGCGAGAAAATTCAAATGAAGATTTATAGCCATATGTTCTTAACACTGTTACTTATGGGCAGACTGCTAGTAGTTTCTTGGCAATAAGGTGCCTTTTTGAGTTAGCAAATGAGTGCTCTGATCCTGAAATAGCTCGAATTATTAAACGAGACATGTATGTCGATGATCTGCTATCAGGAGCTCCTAGTATTGAGCAAGCACAAGCAATATGTCAAAAGATTTCACATGTTTTCCAGAGCGGCTGTTTCGATCTTAGAAAATGGCGTTCAAATGATGAACGAGTTCTTAAAACTATTTCAGATTCTTATTCAAATTATAAAATTCTAGAATTTGCTCCAGAAAAAGTCCCTAAAACTTTAGGTCTAACTTGGTGTTCAAAATCAGATTCTTTAATCTACAATATCAATTTGCCAGATACGATTTTTTTCACAAAACGAATTGTTTTATCTATAATTGCAAAAGTGTTTGATCCTCTTGGAATCCTTGCTCCTACTACTATATTAGCAAAGATGTTGCTGCAAAAATTGTGGATAGAAAGAATTTCGTGGGATGCACGGTTGCCAGATCATCTTTTAAGCATTTGGATAAAACTAAAAAACGAACTTCCTCTCATAAATAATTTTCCAGTATCTAGGCATGTAGTTTGTAAAGATTTCAATAAAATTGAACTACATGGTTTCTGCGATGCGTCTCAGTCAGCTTACGGAGCCTGTATTTATTTGAAGAGTATGAATCAGAATAGCGAAACACGAACTCAACTTTTGTGTGCTAAGAGCAAGGTTGCTCCAATCAAGTCTTTATGCACTATACCTAAACTTGAGTTATGTGCTGCATTATTACTGTCACGCCTTGCTGACAGAGTTGATAAATCCCTAGCTATTAAATTTGAA